TTGCCCAAGAACACAACACAATGTCCCTGGCCAGGGCTTGAACCCAGACCGCTCAATCCAGAGTCAAGCGCACTAAACATGAGGCCACGGCACCTCCACAGGCATACAGTAGACCCTATTAAATGTGATAGGCACCTATGGTACATAAAAATTGTGGTTTTCTAAGGTGTGGGGCCTTGCTCACGTGCCTTTGGCGTGCAGTAGCTCTGCTGAGATTACCACAAGTGACTGTAATAATTGATTAAGTAGTAATCTCAGCAGGGCTGGCATTCAAGGAGGGTCCCATACCATACTAGAAAATTTGGTTACTCATGGAACTAAAAAATTTTGTTTGTCATGTGACTGTCCGTACATTTATCTTTCTGTATGCATGGCTGCCACTTGACAAATTGACAAGCTTTCAAGTCTTGTTTTACCTTTTTGGGCCTTAAATGGAAAGAAGAAACACTATCTCCCAATGTTACAGAGTCGATGGATGAGAAAATCATGGGCAGATTGATATAGAGAGTTTTAGTATAAATCTACTAGTGTTCAATCACGAATGGTGTTCTCTGATTGGCTATGCTACTCACTATCTATTCTGTGATAAATAGTGAGTACCGTAGCGGCATGTGCTAGGGGCCACTTCTTTGTGTTTTCGAAGTGTCTGTGAAGAGGATTTAGGTTACATTTTTGAACGACTAGTAGATTTTTACTAAAACAATTAGATTATTCGCTCTCGATTTTGTGTGTGATAGTTGATGAGTGTGTAGCCCGAGTCAACTACATGTATCACGTGATAGAAATCTTGATCTCATAATGTAATTGTTTAATAAAGTCATAAAAACTTTGCTGGTGAAGAAGACATGGAAATTTTCTCTTTCCATCCATGCACTTTTAACTTTCCACAAGTCTATCCAAAGTGAATACCACTCCTTAGGCTTTTTGCCAAAATGATGGTCTGCACATCTTGTGGATTCCTGCTTTTCATAGAGAGTTAGTTTGAATTGCTTTATTTTAAGCAAATTTGGAAATTTCCAGATGCACAGCACTGAAACTGTCTGTTTTATCAGCATATGTTCTCAGTGCAGGCTCCATACCTCTGAATTATCTCCCTTTTACTTCCCAAGACTAACAACAGTATTGCAACATTTCTATAACTATTGCAGGTTTAAAATTCAAATTGAAGGAGCTCAAGCTCTCACACTGGGCTACGTTACCAGTGTTCTTTGGTCAAGTAACCAGTGCTTATGAGGGTATTGGAACTGTAAGTAGCATTTCTGGCTTTGTTATTTAACAGTTAAACGTAGTAATTTTAGTATGTTTGAGTCCAATTTTTCTGTTAGCAAATACAAATGTGCAGCTGAATTGACTATAGATCATAAAAAAGCAAGGGGGCAAGTATTATTATGATGTGACATGATTTTTGTTAAAAATAATGAAATTCTAACCAGAGAATTATTTTGATTGCTTTCAGTTGATTCCCATAGAAACAAGCATGGCAGAAAACAGAAACCGATTTCCATTGTACCTGCACTTTGCCATTGGGACTCTTTCAGTTATTCTAGGCTGTTTTGGTATACTTGGATATGTGGTGTATGGAGAAGAAGTGAACCAGATTGTCACAGAAAGTTTTCCTTCTGGAGTCCTGATTCAAGTTGTGCGGTGCTTGCTGTGTTTTGCTATACTCTTGACGTATCCACTACAAATCTTTCCTGTTATAGAAATAATTGAAGGATGGCTATTTAGTTCAGAGTGTAACCCAGTGGAGAAGTCAGATGGTGAATCAAGCTCAGAAGTTGAAGATAATGTGACTTGTCAAATGTCTCAAGAGGCTATGCTTGGTTCAGCCAGAGAGACTTCAAGGTTACTTGCACCAGAAATACCAAAACAGAAAAGCATTGTAAGTAAAAAATTAAATAATACTAAAAATTAAAAGTATATGAATCTGCACCGGTTGTTAAGTGTGGAAATAATCATTGTGTTCCAGGAAAACCATACGCCTCGCACAGAAGTTTTTTTCTTGTTTTGAACCCTCCCTCCACTATCTTGAGCTTTGATTCATTTACTTTCCTTTTAAAACATAGGTTTTTGAGACCCCCTACCCCCTCCCCCTTGGAATTTCCATTACCCCTCCTTGGGGTGGGTATGGATATATTCTGGAACCACACATTGCAGACCTTTGTGTTTGCATTTCACAAGCATTGTTCAATTGGATAGAACCCTGCATTGTTGAAAAAGAAAAGTTTTGGTGGCACACACTCGGACACTTATCGTAGTTATAAGAGTCAACAGAAGAGTCAGTAGTAACGTAGGTTCTAATTTGTGTGTCAAAAGTAGTTGGTTTTACATTTTAAATTACTACGCAACACGATTGCCTTAGAAAACCCGAGCCACTTTTTCATCCTTTCAGATGTAAAATCATACTCATCAGGTGCATGTTATTACTTCGAATTTTGATTGGTTCACTATTGTCTGTGTCTTGTGATTGGCGAGAGTGATTTCTTCAGTTTTGGTTTTACGGCACTCAGTTGAAAACTGCTTTAATATTGGCACACTTAAGTAATTGATAAAAAATTTTAAAAGAAGGTTGATCTATGATTGCTCTTAGAATCGATCCATAAACTGGTCTGCTGTTAAATGATGTAAGATGTGATTTTTACTTTTATCCCACCTGTCATGCGACAGAAACAGGAGTTGAGCACTGCAGGCCTAATAAACCACAGGGCAGGGGACGATCATTTTAAATTTAATTATGTTCCTTGTGTTATTTTCAATTAGCTAAGTTGTCCTATGTTATCCAGTTAATCCATTAAAACGTTTAGTACCTGCAATGTAATGTAGGTTACTTACTTTAGGTCATTACCCACTGAGTGAGTCTTTTTCACTAAGAGAATATGCATGCACATTTTTTCTTTTTTTTTTTGAGACCAAACTTTAAATATTATTCATTTACCACAGGCAAGGAAATGGAAGAAAAATCTACTGAGGACCTTTCTAGTGTTAACTACTGCTGGGATTGCTATTGCCTTGAAAGATGATTTTGCTTATGTCAGCGCTATTGTTGGTTCTATTGGAAGTTCCACTCTTGGCTTCATTTTACCTTGTGTATTTCATCTTGTACTTTGCAAAGATTCTAGTACAACACTGACCAGAGTGAAGGACTGCTTATTTATTGCCTTTGGAATCCTTGGAGGAGTGATAGGTGTGGCAGTCACCATACAGCAGATTGTTGAACAGTTCTCGAAGAGTTGAACCATCATATTATTGTAAAATTAAAGACAAAAGATTTCATATGTATGTTAAATAATTAGTTTCTAAAACATTCATGTTTGGTGTTGTTGGCTAAGTAAGCTCTGTATGGTATTTTAGTCGAACCCCCCTCCCTCTTTCTCTCCCAAAAAGGTTAGACCAATCCATCAATCATCACTTATAAAATCAAGTTAGATCATTATTTATTTAGGGTAAAAAATTGATCAGATTATAAAAATTTATTTCTAAGCCAACTGCAAAATCCTTAGAAAGTTGTGTAAGGCCACGGCTAAGAACCAGAGTTTAACGTAATCTAATACCTGGATGTCAAGACATTAGCGCTAGTTTTAGGTTTTTTTATGAAAGTTCATGCCAGTGGCTTTTTTACTAAATTGAGAACAGCTGGCAGAATGAGGTGCTACTATTTGGAGCCACAGATCAGATAATGCATGCTCTAAAATGAAGCACAAATTTTAATTTCAAGTTTGTCAGCGGTAACACAATTTTATCTCATTAGAATTTTTTACTTACCTTTTGCTTTCATATTTTCCTCGATTTGAAAGTAACTTAGTACAGTCGAACCTCTGGTTGCGACCACCTCTCCTCAGTGACCAGCTTTCCAAAGTACCAAAAGTTTCCAAGTCCGATCACTATATTTGGAATCTCTTGTAAGTGAGCACCTCTCGTAAGCAACTGTGACCACTTTTAGAGCATAAAGTTTGAAATTTTCTTTTGTTTTTAACCTCCTGTAAGCGACCACTTGACAGATAATAGAGCATAAATTGGATAATGAGGTGCTGTAACGCTATCGTATTCCTGAGTAGTACAAGAGATGGAAATTTCCTCAATGTGAAGAACCGGATTTTTTCTCGAAATTGACTTTTCACATGAATAAAACATTTAAACATGCAGTTACCATATACTAATGAGGCAAAATTTTGACCCGATGTGGTCTAAGCTCTCGTAAGTGACCACCTTCCGTAAGTGACCATCTAGGCTTGATGTTTTTGGTGGTCACTTACAGGAGGTTCGACTGTTCTTCTAAAAGTATTAGTGTCCAAGGGAGTAATAGTTTAACCAGGAGAATATTTATTTTCTAATCAGGGGAACAGGTTAGGAATTTTCATCATTTGTAACTGGATGGCAGTGGTACACACAGAGAGACTTGTAGAAATTTAAGTTTAAATCTTAAGTCTGTTAATGTTAAGTGTATTCCTTTAAAATGCCAGTGTACTACAGTTGAAGTTCTAGTAGGTGACCGCTTCAGGATCATAACTATAGCTGTAAAGCTTGTCCCTTAAGAGAATGAGTTCCCATAAGTGACATTTACCAGTTAGAGGTATTTTTAGCATAAGAGTTTTCTACCTCAGTCTCATGAAATTAAAAATCTTCATCATTATTAGGCATTGTTGTAGGTACACAGTAAAAAAAGTGGAAAGTTTTATTGAATTGTCCACTTATACCAAACTAAGTGGTTACTTACAGCACGCTAATGGGAGCGGTCATTTGCATGAGTTTGAGAGACAGTTCAAACAGGCTTTCACAATGGTAGTAGCAATTCCAGCTGGTTGCTTAGTAAACCTTCTTAAACTCATTTGTATTTGTAGGTAGTCTGGCTGCTGAATTTGTAACTCAAGTTTTGAATGTCAAAGACAGTTTTTGATTTTCCAAGCTTGGCTTTTGCAGCTGGACTTGTGGGGTAGCCTGTGAATGCAGACGCTTGTCTCCACCAAAAATAACATCATTATTTACAGCGAAGACAAGCAACACTTGGAAATAGTGTGTGTTAGCAGGCTACTTGTGGGCAAGTCTGGTTGCTTAATTATTAGTCAGAGGGGGTGCAAGAACAGTTTGGCCTGTATTCAATTTTAAATTGGGGCAATGGTTAAAATTTGCTTGGTGTGTTGATTCATTCAAAACCCAAGGTATTTATGGGACAATGTACCAAATGTTATTTTAATACTACAATGGTTGTCCTATACAGAGTATATTTTATTATTTAGGGAAATGCAAATATAATAATAAATTTTATGGAAATGTTCTGCTCAATAGTAGTGCCATTTGGACTTGTATCAAGTTACCTTTCCAATGATGGGGCCCATGAAGTGCTGGAAGAGCCCTAAAAATTCCGTGTAGCAGGGTAAGAGGTAGCAGCTCTTACAACATCTTGAGGAATGGCCCAATACTCTGACAGAACAACAGAACATAGTCTCAAAGGCTATGCTGGCAAGCAAAATTACGGTAATGATTCGATTTAGTGCCTGAGGCAGTTATTTACTTTGGTACCTCAAGGGAGGGCGCTTATTTGAGACACTGGGCGCAGAGATCATTTGTTGGGACTTATGCACGATGATAGAGATGATAGTTCAATAATCAAATTGCAACTCAATTCAAAACTTGCAACGCTTATGACAATCATTAAAGATGCGTAGTGTAATAATAATTGAGTTACATCTGCATTGATCATTTTCTTTACCATCTTGTTCAAAATGTACGTAGCTCCAAGATGGTTTGTTGGAGGTCAAAGGGATAAGTTTTCAATTTGCTGTCAGAAAGAAAAGATGGGATTTTATTTGAAGGTACTCTGGGAGATGTTCATGTACTAACTGGGTCATCTACTGGAGAATGTAGGTATTAGATGTATCCCAGGACAAGAAGCAAGTCCCTGACACATGTTAATTACAACAATTGGTATTATTAGTGTAAAATCAATCATGTTCATTTAAAACTTTTTTGGTACGCTCTATAACAATTTTTATTTGCTGTCATTATAAATAAGAAATTAAATCTTACTGACCCATAATGTCACCTTGGGTTTCCTTCAGATAGATATTAATTAAAATGTATTGGACAGATGAAGAAAACCATGGACCAGTTGATCCAATAATAATTATAAAATTTAATATTGTAATAAAAACATCTTGTTTCGTGGAACTGTACTTGAAAATGGAAGTAAAATCCCTCCCTTTCCATAAGGCTTTACTATGGTAAACCAGGGGTTTCACTGACGTTTTCAGCAGGAGGACAACTGGTTTTCACAGGCGGACAAAACTATTTGAACTGAACTTCTTTATAAGAACTTTCTGCTAGATGGTCAAACCAGGTGGGCAAAATCATCTTTAGAGCCAGTCAATTTTCCCAGTGCGCGGACCTTAATGAAACCCTTGACTAAACCTATTTGCGTTCGGAGAACGCAAACCTAATTTTGACCTGTGGCTTTCTTGAGTTGGTTTCCCTGCGCACAATTATATGCATAAAAAAATCCACATTCCTGTAAGGGCACCAAAATGGCCACCCCGCTTGATTTTTGCAGGGGCACATCACAGCCAGTAAACTGGTACCGTTACTAAGACGTGACGAGACATGCGGCGCACAGGTATGCCGTGTGAGCTCGTCTTTGCGCTGGATCTGTTCGCTATTTTGTGCTCTCAGCGTTGGATTTTGGTGAATTTGAACGCTTCGACGGCAGCATTTATCGAAATCTGAGGGAATTGTCCTTGTCTATTTTATGTCTTAACAAACACGACTTTGAATCACCATGGCTTTCAGGATGATAACCGTGGGAACAGCTATATTTTGATTGCATTTGTTGATTTCGTTCCAGTCGCAACAGATACATATAGCTCAGTCTTTATCCCGGGGAGGGCGGGGGGTACTCCCTTATATGAGCTATATAGGTATGTGTGGCCCCAAATGGTATGGTTTCTCAGCCGTTCTGGTCATAAATAGGGTATCAATTTTAGCCTATTTTAGCCATTTTGGTCAGAAATAGGGTATGATTTTTGCACTCTAGCCTTGATATGGGTATATATTTTTAAGAAGAATCACTTTTTCATCATTATTGAAAAGAAAATTAACAAAAGCTCTGCACAAGTTATGTTTACGGTAATTTAACATTGGTCTGAACTAGGGAACTTATTACAACGCAGGTCTGAAACAGGGTTTTGATATAATAGTCAGGTCATAAATAGGGTATCGAATATTTGGTCAGGTCATAAATAGGGTAGGGAATATCGCAGATTTTGGTCATAAATGGTAAGGGTTTTGGGAAGCGGGCTGCACACCCCCACCCAACTTTTCCGGGAGCCCCCCTCCCCAGGGTCTTTATCCAATTGAATAAATGCTGTTTGGAATCCACAGAAAAGTACTCTGAAGGCAAGATCCATAAGAGTGAGCCTGAACCAAGGAACGGCAAATTATCTGAATACTGTCTACTAGTCATCAGGGGAAATACTCGAATCAGTTTGTGCTGAAGACAAACGAGCACACGATTGTAAATGTTTGGTACCTCTTAAAATGGAATGGACTTTGACACTATGATATATCTGTCTGTAAAACCCATGGTTGCTGATGAAAAACGTTGATTTTAGCAATAGAGGTTGAAAGTCAGCTAGTGAAATCATTTAAAGTATATATATTAAAGAGACAGCGTCGAACGCACTCTCATAATCGTTGATTACTACTAGTTACAGTAATAGTGTTGTTGACTTGTTTGGAGTTGCCTTGCCTCCAAAAGTATGGCTATAATAGCAATGTGGTATTGAAATAAAGCCTCCAGTATTTACATAGTCCAGTCCCTGACCCCTCCTTTTTCCCAGGAAAAACCCAGGCAGTGAAAAGAGAGTCCAGGTTAACTTGCATGGGCATGATTAGAATGGCACCATCCCCGTCTCCCCAAAAGAAAATGGGGGAAAAAAACCATATATGGCAGAACTTTTGGAACTGCATGCACATCTAGTGGCCATCTATTAACTACAAGCAGGAATATCAGAACATTCTTTAAAAAAACTTAACCTATCCTTCATCTGCTAACAACAAATGGCCAAAATTCTAGTCATCTGCAGAGTGCACAATTGAAGATCAAAAACTAGATACTTGTATTTACTCACTCACTAAAGTTCAAATCACTCTCGCATTACACCATCTACTATGGTGAGCACTTGATAGTACATTTATTTATTTTCAGTTATTAATGTGTGGTTAGGGTTAAATTCCTAACATTGTCTTGCAACATTCTGGCATTCCTGGTTTTAGTAAATTTAATAGAGATTTGGGCAATATTTGAGACAAAATTTCTTGCTGTTAAGTTGTGTGTTTGGTTGCATTTGAGCAAACAATTAAATCCTAGTGCACGTCAACACCACAATCTTAGACTAGTTCATTCTGAGCATGCTCTTGCAAGTTATACAAATATCATTCTTGTCCCCAGAGACCGTGCTCCCTTTAGTCAACACCAAGAATTGCTACATTTGGCTGGATCAGATTTTCTGGGCATGTGCAGAGACACTGGAAGTCTGTGATTCATGGACTTCCTGTCAAATCTGGCAAATCTGATTGGATAAGAATACGAAACAAATACTCTGCACATGTTCAGGAAATCAGGTACAGCCAGAGGTTGTAATTCTTGGTGCTGACCAAAAGGAGTGCGGCTCTGGGGATGAGAATGAAGTAAATAATAAAAGATCATATATACTGCAGAGAAAGATATAAAGACATGATTGATCATTGCAGTCATATATGCTGCTTAAGCAGCTGTGAATTATCCTGGACTCTCCTTTTGCCTGTCTAGGTTCAACTCCCATATAGGGCAGGGAAAGGCAATGTTCAGGGACTGGACTAGTGTTTATGGTGATGGGGATCAGAAGATTACGACATTTTAGAACGTGTTGACCTTGGGCAGAGTTAAAAATAGCATTTTTTCTCTAAAGGCTGGTTTTCACTAGCAACAGAGTCAGAGTCAGAGAGACATAATCAGAAGAGTAGGACAATACGATCTAGTGAAAATCAAACTGACAGAGTTGGAAGCAGGATACCCATTCCACTTTACACTCCATTGCTTATAAATGATCTAGAGAAAACTACATTGTTGGAGTTGGAAGCAGAAGCAGAAGAATAAACCAATCACAATGCTCAATTCTAGGCCTTGTGATTGGTTGGTTCTTCCATTTCCGCTTCCAACTACAACAATCTAGTTTTCACTGGATCATAAGCAATGGAGTCATAAATGGAATCGGAAGAAATGGAAACGTTCTGATTCTTCCAACTCCAATTCCATCAAGCTGATGATGCTTCTTGATTTTCACTGCGTTGTAAGCGCTCTTATGACTCCAACTATGACTCCAGCTCCAACTCAGTCACTAGTGAAAACTTGGGCCTTAAAAAAGTGGGCCTACCACTGACATATTTTTTTCAACAAGAGGAAGGCCAGTCCCAATAGAGTTGCTACTAAGTCAGGCTAGAAATGCTGAAGCCAAAACAAAAAAAAGTAAATAAAAACTTTCCTCCTTCAATATTAGGCAATGCATACTGATACAATGATTAATGTGCTAATTATTCAACAGGCACTGATCAGTGGCTTCTTTCCAAGTTTTTGATAATCACATTCTGTTGCTGATTTCTTAGCCTGAATTGTCCCCGTTCCCCAAGTCCTACTATCCCAGTTCTCCACTTTTATGTAGGAGATATCAGATCACTCCCTCTTGGCAACAACCAGTGGGCATTACCTTCACATAATCATCAGTATTATATTTTTCAACTTGAGTGCCAGCTGTCACTTTGGCAAGGAAAGTAACAGATGTGCAACTAGAGCTGTCTGCTTGCTGTTGAGAGCTAAGAAAAGAGGGTTAAAAACTTGAATTACCCAAGGATTCAGAGGAATTTCCTGATTGACTTTGCTGATGTCCACATAAAATAGTGCTTGTTCCAGTTATACCTGAGTGGGCAAAGTTCTCCAGATTTGCTACTGAGCTTTCCAATTTTCCATTTACTTCTTTAGCTTGTTCCTGAAACCAATTATTATAGTTTCCCTTCATTTCTTGACATAGGGCTTTTAATATCTCCACTTCGCCTTGAATTTGCTTCCAGTGTTCCTCTAGCTTGCCCACCCTTATGTAAACCTCCTGTCGTTTTGCTTTTTCTTCTATAAGACATCCCTCCACAAAAAGTCGCAAGTCCTTTTCTTGAACCAGCTGTTTCTGGAGTTTCTGCACTTCAGATGTTGCAAGGTAAAGCTGTGCCTCTGTTTGACTAACCTGCCATTGATGCTTCTCCAGACATTGACTGTTAAATGTAGTATTTGAGCGTTCCTTTTGTTCCTTCCAACGAGAAAGTGCTGTTAGTATTTTCTTTCTTGGTCCAAGCAATGAAATTCCAATTTCTTTAAGGTCACTATCAGTCAGAGTCAGTAGTGTGCCAAAATCCACATCTTGCTTGTCAAACATAGGAATATATTTTGTCAATTTCAATTCCTGCAGAAAGCTAGCAACAGTTAGTTTGTTTGGCAGAATTCCATTGGTTTGGACTTGCGAGCTTCTGTTGTTCTCATTGTCAAAGCTGTTCACTTTCTGTAACTGTTTATGCAAACTGGCACTTTCAACTGTTCTGCCGCAGTTGATAAAGAAGTGCTCTTCAAAACTACCAACATTGCCTTCAGGAGTTCCTGGGGTGTTTGAGTGAAGATGTGGGCTTCCTACAATATGGCTCATCCTTTCCTGTTTTCCCATTATAGTGGGAATGCTTACTGGCTTGCCACCTTTGTTTTGACTGCTCATCAACTTTTTAAAGGCTTCTGGACCATCACGGATCCCGGTGTTCAGGAATGCATTTTTACCCTGAAGCCAGCCATGAACTTTCTCCTCAGCAAGTTCATTGACATCAGGAAGAAGACCAGGTTCACTTCGCAGCAAATAGTTTGGCAGATTGTGGAATGCTTGCTGGTCAATTATGTTTACAACTGCCATGTTTCCTTGCTGCCAAGCCACAGACCGAATGTCTTCACCAAGATTTGTACGAGCCTTCATGTTAGCACCACATCTGACAAGCTCTTCAAATATGACTTCATGACCCTCTCTTGCAGCCACCAAAAGTGGAGTCAGGCCCAGTCTATGTTCTCTACAATGATCAGTAAAAAGTATATAATATATATTAAGTGACTGTTGAGAGTGCAATGGCATTGCTTACACTACTGTATAATTATGTGGTCAACATTATGCTGTTGGGGAAAGGTGGCAGTCTCAACAACTGCCACCTTTCCCCAACAGCAATGGTCACTAAAGAGCGTCCCAACTGCCAAAATAACCTCTCCACAATGGTCAGTTAATTGACGACCAATGTACATTGAATTCAAAACCTCATTTTTGTAACAGAGTACAAAACATGATCTGTCTCACACATCATTGGTCTCTGTTTCTGCTTGATTTCTGTATTATTGATATTTTTGATTGTCTTATGCCCGGTTCAAACGCCGTACTTTACATGAGCCAAATTGAATGCTAATGAGGGAGAACAAAGGATTTTTCTCATTTGCATTCAATTCGGCTCATGTGAAGTACGGCGTCTGAACTTGGCCTTATACATTATTTTATATGCTACAATAAACATAATTATAATCCATGAAATATTTTCGCTTGTGCAGTTGATCTAAACGCATCACGTGACTGAATATTCCCCGGCAAAAATTGGGGAATATCCGAGTTATATTCCCCACTTTTGAAAACTACGTGTGTTACAAAAAATATTTGAAGGATAATAAAGACAATAGCCTTCATTTGGGGCGAAAATATGTTGGCATACTTGTCCTTGGACATCATCTATTCCTCAAAGCTCACAGTTTTCCTCGGGCTAAGCTTTTTGAAAACTGTTCGCTTCTTGGAACAGATAATGTCTGTGGACAAATACCTGTACACATTTTCTTGCCAAATGGAGGCTATTGCTTTTATATAGCTGTTAGTACAGTTGAGCCTGTGGTCCCATATTCTTTTGTTTAAAAAGGCATACAAATGAGGCAAACAGGTCAATACAAAGTAAAATTGACCCTTTCGCCCCATTTATATGTCAAACCACTGAAAACTGTAATAACAGCTATTGCAATGCCTGAATGAAAAAAAGGTGTCATATTACACCCCAACTTTCCTATAAGAGGTTCGACTGTAGCTCAATATATAATAAATATTATTATTATTATTAATATTAATATTAATATAACCAATGTTAGGTTATGTGTCTGTATATATCAGTTTTAAAAGTGCTACATATCTAATTTGTGACTATAGTTGACGTTACCTTCTACTTATTATTGAACAACTTTTGTCGATGTTCTTTTGGTATAAAATTTACGATTTTGGCAGTACTTGGTCATAGGATCCCACCTTATCTCCTTCTCAGCACCATTCTCTAATAACAACTTCACAACATTGTGATGTCCTTGGTAAGTTGCATAGAACAGACAAGTCCATCCCCTCTTGTCCTGGATATCGATCTTAGCGCCACTTTGCAACAGAAAGTACACGATAGATTCGTTCCCACAGCTTGCCGCAAGCATCAGCGCTGTCGCTCCATGTCTCGTCGTTGTGAGAGCGTTCACGTCGACATGATGGTCGAGGAGCAGATTAACGATGGTGTCGTGCCCAACATAAGCAGCGTACATGAGAGGCGTCCATCCGCCAATGTTAGGTCTATCGAGATCGGCAAGTTCCATTCCGTCTGCTAGATATTGCTGTAGGCAATTGTACTCGCCGATAGAACAAGCAGTAAAGATGTCCATTTTGACCACTTCATCTTCGTTCCAAAGATTGCTACAATCGTTCACATCAGAGAAACTCGATGATCGCTCCGATCGGACATCGTTATGGTTCGGTGGCTCTTCCATTATACTCTTGGCTTACGGTATAACAAGTGTTTGAACGAGGAATATGACAACTTCCTATCTATGTCATCTATGCTAACTGAGAAGAACTGAGCAGAAAACAATCTCGTTCCCAGAGTCTTCGTTCCTCTTGACCAGCGGTCGGAAAATTGCGCGCACTAGTGTTATGTTTTGAATGCCGTTTTTGCATTCGTATTTACACCCAGTCCTCTCAAACTAATTACACGTAATAAGCAATGATTAAATAGTGTTTTACTATCACCTCTGTTAAAATTACTGGTTTTAGTCTTGAGTTAGAAATGCCCAAACAAATATGTTTTTCACTTTTTTATGGTTTTACTTGCGATTTTCTTGAATTTCCTTCGGTGAAATCTTCCAAAATTTTCACAGCATATCGTTTCCTGTGGGACACGAATTTTAAACACAAAAAAAGTAGGGTTTGCAAAGGCAGGTTTTTCGATTGTTGCAAATTTACGTCTTTTACCGCTGCGAAAAAACTGGTCTTATAGATTTCCCTAAAAAACGAGCTCCGACTAAAGTAACATATTTACTACCAATCTGCCAAGTTTTACGAAATTTCACCGAAGGAAACGCGAGAAAATTCACTGTCAGTTTTGTTTGTTGTGCTCGTGTTGACGTAATAAGATACTGTATCGAAAAACACTGACGTTTTCCTTCGAGCGCGCGCAGATTACTCGAGCTTTCGTCCTATGCGCGTGTGCGATCGTAAAACTATAGAGAGCCACCTTAAGCAAGCAACCGGAACGATGATCCTGCTGGTATACGTTGGATCAGAAGCATATCACCCAGTTCTAGGTGATATACTTCTGGTTGGATCAATAGTCATCTAATCGGCTTTACATATAAAATGAAGAATGCAAAAGCAAAAACCGACACAACGTAGGATGATTTTTTGAAGGTGTACTATATTTCGGCTGGCCAAACCAGCCTTCTTCAGGTACAATGAAAATTTTACATTGGGACGTGTTTTTATGTAGCCGATATTTTCGTAATTCCGATCGCTGGTCAAGGGGAACGAAGACGCTGGGAACGAGTTGAGCACAAAACTGAAACATTACAGCAGGCTCCTCTATTCCTAGCACGGGCATCACATGTTCTTGAAAATTCCTTTTTTGCGTGACGACAAAAATTTCTTTGGCTACACTCTTTTTTTTAATATAAGGATATATTTTACAAGAATATCGTGGCTGAAATTAGCGAAATTTTAAGAATGAATCCAAGGCTGAGATTTTGAAAAGAAAATAATTTAGTGTGTTGAAAATTTGGAAATACAATACAATAATATCATGTGCTGTTAACTGTATAAAATTCTTCCTTTCTCTAATTAAACGTCAAAACTAGCCAAAAGGCAACAAAAACGGTATGTTCGACGCTAATGAATTTTTGAAAGAAATTATGTGCGTTATATCAGGCTTTAACGCCAGCAGGTTGGCTCCAAAAGTACTTTAACACTGATCCAGACACCAACTATATTGTAATATAAGAGGAGGGCGTTGGGATTTTCGGTTTTGCGGATTTGACCAATTTTTGGTTCGGTTTATCGGTTTTGGTGTCTTGTGCGCTTTGCGGGTTTTCTTCAATTTAGTCTTTGGTTTTCGGTTTTTGTCAACAATGATGGCGGTTTTTCGGATTTTTCTGTCCAATACATTGTACGGTTTTTCTTGCCAAAGAGGTTACACCCCGTAGTAACTGTTATTCCAAGAGACCACTTACAGTTAGAGGAATGCATGATAGTCTCTTCAACAGCCGTTATTTGGGTCGTAACGGCTGCCAAGCAGACTATGAAAAGATAAAGATAACATCAAAGTAAAAAGCTATTTCTCAAATATCACGCAGCTGGGATAATATCTTGTGGACTTTGATCTTAGACTGTGGTCCATCGAGTTGCTATAGTTCATTTGCGAGTTGTCTCCCGGGGTTGTCTCCCCGTTTCGTCACGGTAATAACATTGCGCTCACTCGCTCCGTTCACGTGGAATAAAAGGAAAAGAGAGACTGTTTGGCTGTAAAATAAAGTAGTTTGGTTGTAAAATGCCTGAAAAACAATCAGGTTTCAACTCACAATGCGACCAGCTCCCAGTCGGCTTGACAGCTCAGTTGGTAGAGCACTGCACCGGTATCGCAGAGGTCATGGGTTCGAATCCCTTTCAGGCCTGATTTTTTTCAGGCTTTCATTTCACAACTACTTAAGTTGTGTGTATAACTGCGATGAGCAATCATGTCTTCATATCTTTCGCCGCAGTTCAAACATATGATATTTCATATATTCACTTGCAATCAAAAAGTAAATTCAGTATGTGGCGTTTCTTTTAAACAAAAATCATCTAAAATCATTTTGTCGTACAGGTTGTTTCTAGTTTCACATTGCTAGAGGTCTGTGGAGCCTTAACACAAAAAATGAACTTTTTAGACTACGGTGAGTTCTGCACTAACGAGGGAATACGCAGAAAGAACTTCGGAGGGCAAAATAAGTTTAGACGGTTTTGGGACGAAATTTCTTACGGTTTTGCGATTTTTTGCGATTTTTTGCGTGGTTTTTCGGTTCCTAATAGGCCCCCACGCCCCCCTTATATAAGAATATTCACGAGAATATTTCAACCTAAAATAAGATTATTCAGCCTCGAAAAACAATATTCTTATATATAAAAAAGAGTGTACTGGATTTCAAGCCAGTGCTTGCGTAGTCTCCTCCCAACGCTTCTCCCCCCACTAGTGCGGGAGAAGCGTTGCGTGACGACCCTAATAACGGCTGCGGAGGGGACTAGTGCTTGCGTGATGTGTAATGTGTTCCATTGCCTGATGGAAAGTATACGTATTTCCGGTTGTCGAAACATCGACAGCCGGAAATACGTCAGCGTTCGAAGGTTAGCTGGCCTTGAGCTCGTGAAAGGGCTCCAACCAGACAAAAGTCCCTATTCCAGGATTGGTTGGTCGAATTCTTTCTTTTTTCCGATGTTTTTATCCTTTCGGTTACGGCTGCTGCAACCCGTGGCTGCTTTTGGCTAGTTCAGGTTGGCTGCTACTTAAGTCACGCAATGTACATGTACTGGTTAAACTTCCGGTTGCCGCAAAGCACGAACGTGATACTTAGATCATGTGACCCCAAAAACTTCCACTTCTTTCACTTGCAAATCAGCTAGCGCGATCGCTGTTTGCAGTGTTTGTTATCGATTGACGTACCATATATCAGCTTCAGCAGTCTGTCGAATGAACACAAAGATCTGAATTAAGCAGTAACGTCAACGATGACTGGCTATGTATCTGTTTCGTCCAGGACTTCTCAAGCCCTTCTTGTCAGGTAAGCCAGTCGAGCTCTTCGGCAGTGGCAGAGGTCTGGAATGCTTTGAATGAGGATATCGACGCGAACAGCTTAATTTTCCCTAATTTACTACTTCGCTACGAAGACCTCGAGTGCAAACAACCTATGAGGCACGAAACGCTTTATTGATTGATCATGGAAGTTAAACTTAACCCAGTTTGATGGAACTCGACTGTTTTAAACTCTTCCGGCCTCTTAGTTCCGGCCGGCTATTTTCAAACCTTACGAGAAAACTCTTTTTACTGATTGCAGCGTAGAAAACCAGAAAGAGTAACAGATCGAACACTTTTTGTACAGTTCACAGCTTACAAGAGTAAAAAGGCTATTCCATGATTGCGTTCAGCGAACGTAGATTACCCGGAAAAGTCCTTACGCCCGCGCCCGCGACCGATGCGATCGAAACCTCACTGACGATCTACCGCTTAGATTGTAGTTTCAGACACACCTTGAAAAATTTTACGTATCCAACCAGACTCTCTTCGTGACTCTCGGAAGGTCCGAGCAAGTGGTCTGCACATAGTTGTAAGCCCGTAGGTTGTACATGTTTGTACTGTAACTTGTGTCTCTTCGAGTGCTTTAGATGGAGCTCAACTGGGGCCTACAAAACACTATATCCCTCAGTAAAATAAAATACAGTGTATAAAGAATATCAATTTTTGACCTTGCCCTTGAGGGTGAACTGTAACTATGATGTACTAGCCTAACAGTCATTCTCACCAGTCTCCCCCCTCCCCCCCTCCCCACTCCAAGAAAAAAAATATATTACTAGCATGATTATTATTTTACAATTATGTTAATACAATCATTTCACCTCTACAGTACTTCTATAATTTGAATTTTATTAGAAATTCAAGAAAACTTCACTTCACAACAGAAATCACCTGCCTGACTACAAATTTTTCCACTAACAAACACAGCTTTCATTACATGCTGAAACATGTTATTATTCATTATTTCTCCATCTCAAAAAAATACCAGAGTTTGGTACAAAAGAACCAATAATTTATTCTTGTCAAAAATGTCGTGATCTTAGACCATAGTTAGTAACTATGCTCAGACCAAGGGACTCGACAATGGCTCCAGTTACTCTCTACAATACTTTTCTAGTAAGAACTTATATATTGGAGTTTATGACATGACTAAGTTAGGTCAGAGGGCCAACTACTATAATCATGGCCAACCAGATTGCTCCATTGCCAGTCCAATATTCTCTGGCTGGTTAATTGGCATTTTTTACATAATTTTCGGAAAGACCTTACTTTCACATGAAAGATTCCTTTTCTTTTTCTTTCAACTCTTTTTCCCTTCAAGTGAACATTGGTGTGTAGGCCTGTTTGGCTCCCTGTCAGAATTGCACACTTGAAGTTTGTGATGTTTTTCCCAGGCCATGATTATGGCATTTTTCTAAACATTTTCAGTCATGTAGTAAATCTCTTATTAACCCTGAAGCTTGCTTAGGACTGAACTGGGAGAATATCAGTCTTCTGTCTGTCAGTCTACCAAGGCCTCAGGCTGATATTTTCTCCCAGTAAGGCCCTCGCACTTAATCAGTAAGAGATATAAATCAACTTTTTCAAAGTGGACACTACTGTAAGGCAGGCACCTATACAAGGAGTCACCAGATTGAGATTTCACTGTTTTCCTTAACGGAATTTATACAAAATACAATAACTCTCTTCTCACTTACACATTATAGACCATCAATGTGGCAGCAATTCACAGATTTTGCAAATGTACTAAAGGCATTTATAGGAACAAGCTACCTGTCTTTGCCATTTGCATTTTATCAAAGTGGATTAGTGGTGAGTTGAGGTGTATGACATGAAAAGTAATTTCTGCTTATTTGAAAGGCCTTTCAAAATACAGAAGAATGGCATTGTTCTTTTTGAAATATCTTTTTTCGTTTTAGAGATATTGATGTTTTCTGTTATGCAAATTAGATCAGTGATGATGTCATAAGGTTTGCAACTAAAAGTGGTGAAATACTGAATAAATGATGTCTCTGGAAATATTAAAGCAGTGTTCTTGAAACTTGGCACCACAAATGTGCATCACAAAAGAAACAAACTGACACCCTTAATGCTGCTGCGATGACAACAGTTTTGCCGCTGGTGCTGTCTGAATAAAAACTGAAATTCCCAGTTTTTTGTCTTTATCAAGGACCATCTACCCCACCCAATCTAATGGTGGGAGTTAAGACAATATGGGAACTATGTCTGTTCCAAGTAGGAGCCTTTGTCTCACTTTAAAGGTTGCAAATGGGGATATTTAGTTTTTTGACAGAAAGAGGCTGGAGCTGAAAGAGTTGCTATGGCAACAGCACTGTGGCTGTCATTTTGTTTCTTTTGTGATGTACATTTGTGGTGCCAAGTTTCAAGAACACTGCTCATCACTGCTCTAATTTGCATAATAGAAAAACATCACTAAAACAAAAAAGATATTTCAAAAAGAAAAACACCATTCTTCTGTATTTTAAAGGCCTTTTGCGTTCTTCTCGCCCCCAGGATCTCGTGTGGCCATTCTTCTTGCCACCAGGATCTTGTGCGGCCGTTCTTCTTGTCCCCAGGATTTTGCTTGGCCGTTCTTCTCACCCCCAGGATTTCGCGCGGCCATTTTTTTCTCGCGGTTTTCTTTTGTGTCACGCACGATGGACAAAGCGAAAGAGGGACTACTTGTAGTCTACTATGCCACTCTTCCAGATTATCTGGGTTCCTCCTGGATATAGACTGAATCTCCCAGTCTCCCATATAGGTCACCAAATCTCCCAGACAATGCAAATGAAAGAGCATAAAATGCTAACAGTTTTCAGACATATAAATTTTGGCTTTTTCTGGGGTAAACCTTTTGGATAGCTGATGTTCTTTTGTGGTTGAATTGGAGGAGCTCTTAAAACCTACTTTGAACAACTGTTTTTAAGGGTTAAAGAAGGTAAAATTGGCGATCTCCTAGATTTCGAATTTTTAGGTTGTTATCTTGTTGCAAACCTGGCTGATAAGTTAGTACCTGTAAATTGTTTTCCTTAAACTGAAATGCTTTAATTAATAGATGTTTGAAAATACTGATTTAAATTGCTCATTGCTATGACATTCACTAACATGATTCTTTGTTACATACTTACAGCTTGGAGCAGTTTCACTTGTAATCATTGCCACAATAACAGACCATTGTTGTCAGCTTATAATTAAATGCAAAAATGCAGCTGTTGAGATGATTCTTAACTCGTCTCCAAGATACCAAGAGTTACAAACAGAGGAGTGCTATGAGGAGATGGCAAAAATAAAGGAGACTATTGAGAATGAAATGACTCTGGGTGACATTGGAAAAATTGCTGTTGGACCATGGGGATTGAGACTTGTTAACACAGCATTAGTTATAACACAGACAGGATTCTGCGTTGCTTATTTCATATTTATGGGAAATACCATAGCGGAAATGTTTCCCATTGCTTATAAACCTCACAATGTGACACCTGTTAAAAAATCAATGCTCTTAAATCCAACTGGTCCAGCCACAGGGTCACCACATGTACCCACTTCCGTGCTAAGGAACTCATCTTCAATGATACCTCCTCTAGAAGGCACAAGTACAGCACCTCTGTTTGTGCTTATTGTGCTAATTCCTCTGCCTTTCCTTGTTGCAATGGCCTATGTGCGGAGTATTCGAAAGCTTGGACCTATTAGTGGGATTGCCAATGTAACTCTACTTGCTGGATTTTTTGGGCTACTGACATTTCTGTTGAAAGGTAAGAGTTTAGATTTTGAAGTAATTAAAAGTAAGTTGCATTAATTTCTTCAAATGTGTCCAAGTTGCAGGACTGCTGATGTTTTATTCAACCAAGCCTCAGGGCCAAGCTAGAATTTTAATATATTGAAATTGGCCTAGTCCCTCTATAAAACGAGCCTGCAATGAATCATGGTATTTTTTTTCATCATCTTGGAATATATTTGTCTTAATGAATTCAACTACCATGATTCCATGCAGGCTCGTCTCATAGAGGAAATTGGACATTAAGTGGAAGGATCATTACCTCAGGTGTTGCCACATGGGTTAGCTGTTTGTGTCAACATTGCATGTATAACAATCAATTTTCTAAAAGCTGACCTTCACAAAGGTCACTTGTATCTGCAAAGAATCCTCTTTGCATTTTTATAAGTCATGACTGAATTCCTTAAGGTTACCGTATACCTTCAGGGGTGTCTCGCGTCCAAGCGATCTAGCACGTTCGGTTTAAGCGGTAGATACCTAAACCCCTATATCAAATTAAAGCCTATAGAGCTGGCTATCAAACTATACCGAGAATTTTGAAATGAAATGAAGTGCCGATTTTTTCAGGACCACTAAATGCGAGCGCCCTAATCACCTTTTGGAAGCTACAAGACAAAGTGAATTTTGTTTTTTGCCAATTAATTTTTTTCCCAGGTTTAAGGACAAAAAGCACTAAAAAAGCGTGTCTGCATTTTGCCATATTCAATTGTAGTAAAAACTTACAGAACATTTTCGAAGTAGGATTTAAAAAATGTGAAGTGACTGTACAAAAATCGCTCTCGGAGAAAAAATATTTCGAAATAAACAATTCGCAGGCATGTTTTTGTTTATTATACCGGTATGTTAATCTAGCTACTGTCCAAATTTGAGGGAGATCGAAGAAATTCCCTTTGAGTTGTAACTCTTTTAAGTGCCTGCTTCAAGCGAAAAAATTTATTCGAGAAAACAGCGCCAATAAAACATCTCTTGCTTCCCAAACAAACTCTGCCCACAAACGCCTTCAACTGGGTTGTCAGATCACTGAGCCAATCAGTGTTTGGAAAGTTTTTTTCTCGTGGTGAAATTTACGCATGAATCTCCAAAACACCCTTGTGTTTTGCAATAGGCTCAAGGCAGAGAGATAATTTTTCTGTAGCTCGGTTTTTCTTGAAGCTGATCTGGCAAAATGGGGAAGACGAAAAAGGATACAAATGCTAGAGTGGCTGGGCAAAGAAAACAAACAAGAAAGCACGGCAGAGCAAATGTGCATGGATAATATTCCAATGGATCTCAACGAGTCTGACGATTCATCGGTATCGGACTCAAACAAAGAGTCACTGTCAAAATCGCTGTTATCGATGTCAAATTCCCAAACTTTTACAGAACCTTTCTCTTCTCTTGACTCGATCTTTTTGCCCGCTTGATACAATAGCCATAGCTTCATCCACGAGGCCAATTTTCACTTCTTCACTCCGAGAACAACTGATGTATTTTTCATTTGTTCTTTGCTGTTTTCGCTTTTTCGAACTGGTCCACGGAGTTTTCCGTGGTCCATGTTTACTTATAACTTAATAGAATTACACCTAATACGAAAAATGCTTGGATTAACAGTGCTGATTAACTGAGTAGAGGTGAGTAGCCAGCCAATTTGTGGTATCCAGATAGGTGATATTCCCGCGAAAGTCATCTCGGTTGATTGCATACCCGTTGTAGGGCTGTCAATCAAGAGGGAACTTTTACTTCCGGCCATAACGTAAAACCTCCATTTCTCCGCCAATATTTAGTTTTTTTTTCAATTTTTTTTTCAGAAATTAGAGATTACTCTTCGACCATTACTTTGACCCAAAAATCCAAATTTGAAGAAAATTGCCGATCTGAAGGTATACGGTAACCTTAAAACTGCCTTTAAATAAGTACTTTAATTATTTAAATTGGTGCTAAATTCTAGAATACATCTACATAATTAATTGAATCATTTTACATACATGAATACAGAATACATGTACATGATTAATTGAACCATTTTTATCATTTGTGTGAAGGGCTGCGTTTTAAGTTGAAAGATGTGAGCCTTGCTAGACTGTCTACCTTTCCGATCTTCTTTGGCCAATTGACTGGAGCTTATGAAGGAATAGGAACCGTAAGTCTTGAGATTTTATTACAGTCAATAAGTTTTCCTGACACTTAAATCAGTTTCAAGCATCATAATTTTTTTCAAGTAGAGTAGCCCTAACTTGATGACAGATGGTAAATGCTGTTTTTATGATTTTGTTTTGTTTTATGCAAAAATTAAATTAAATTTGAAAAATAATTACTATATTACTGAACTTTTTTGGAGTGTTATCAAAAACTAAATAACTGAGTGCAGACGAAGTCTGATTATTTGTTTAGAGTTACATGTATGAGTTCTTAAATCAGTAGCATCTTTGCTTGAATGAATGAATGAATGAATAGCCTTTATTTAAACACAACAATCATTTGAGGGGATAAAATTTACTTAGCTTCTGCGACTTTTAGGTACCCAGTGCTAAGCATTAGCCTGCAACTGTAACTTCTTTCATTGCTAGCCTTAGTTTTCAGGCCTAGTGGGATTTGTGAGCCCAGAATCAGATACAGCTATTTTTGCACCATGACATTGTTATACAACTGCTTCATTTATTGTTTAATGTAGGTGATACCTATTGAGTCAAGCATGGCAGAGAACAGGCCCCGTTTCCCACTGTATCTTCACCTGGCACTTGGGATAGTCTCCTCCATTCTTGGTTCATTTGGAATGCTTGGGTACACTATTTATGGCAGCAATGTCCCTCAGATAGTAACAGATACTCTGCAAACGGGTATAATGGCACAGCTGGTTCGAGTGACACTTATCGTAGCTGTCTTAATGACATACCCTCTTCAGCTGTACCCAGTTATTGAAATTGCAGAGTCCATCTTTTTCACCAAAGTCCATTCTAGAAACAAGTCTCACATGAGTGAGATCATTGCAGGTCCAAGTGTGGAACCAGGAAGCAACCCAGTCTCTCCCCCTGACCCCTCCATGGGTGAGTCACAATACCCAGTGTTAGATTCATCAGGTGGTGTGTCTACCAGTATACAAGATGAGACTGAAGTTCTCATACCAAACGATACTGAAGAACTTCAATATAAGGTATGACGTCAAGTAATACTATGTACATTAAAGTGGAATATGTGATTTTATGCTGAGAGGATACAATAATTAAGTAATTTTATGAGTTCTTGCTGTTGTCAATCATAGGACAAGGGGGCCCTTTTAATTATATTCTTCAGAGATACTCCCAACAATGACACTGGCTAAACTACATATAAAACCATGAACTATGAAACATTCTTTGATCAACGGTGCCACCTTGTTCCCAGCCAGTGCAGCTACGTTTAGTCCTGTCATCAGCAGTATCATTCTACAAGTGCTAGTTCTTGTAGGTGTGTCATATACTGTAATGTTCAAAACTTGACAATGCTGCAGTGGAACTTAATTTTGATGGTACTGAGTAAGTGAGTGCATAATGTCAAGAAATACACAAAATATGTACAAATTATTATCGGTAGTTCCCGTTGTAATTAATTTGGAGATGAAAATCTCTCTTGCCAATATGGGAGTGCAATCTTTTTCTTGAACAGTGGGCAAATAACCTCACCTGGGTGTGTGGGCATGTAGTAATTTTAAACATGGTAAGACAAAATTCACCGATCTTGGTTAGTCAAAATTGTAAAACTGTTCTGGCTATTTTTCATTCCATAGGCTGCACCCTGGAAGAGAAATTTACTACGTACTGTGTTGGTTCTCGTAACAGCTGGAATTGCTGTTCTTCTCAAGGATGAATTTGCCTATGTAAATGCTTTTATTGGTTCCTTAGGAAGTTCGGTGTTGGCGTACATTTTACCTTGCACTTTTCATCTTGTTCTATATAAACACACCAATTCTGTGGGTGTAGTTATCAAGGACATTGTCTTCGTTATATTTGGTATCGTAGGTGGTGTTGTGGGTGTTGTCATTACTGTCCAAAATGTAATCAAGCACTTGACATAGCTAAACCCAATATTGACTCTTATTGTAAACTGAAGGGAGAGGGTTACACGCCATGTTTATTTTGACATGAACTGGTTATTTTTCCCATGGACATAATAATATTACAGTCGAACCTCTCATAAGTGGACACCTTTGGGACCAGAAGAAGGGCTGCTTGAGGTGGCTCAAAACAGCTTCCACTACTTTCTTAGACTTAATTAGATTTTGATAGGTCATTACAACCACTCTTTATCAGTTGATGCAGCAATCATGGTATCAGAAAACTGTGCAACATCAGTGAACACGTTCTCATTTTCTATCATTTTCGTGACACAGTAGGTTACCATAGCAACAGTATTACTTGCTAACACAACCGTAATTTTAGTTTTAATTACTTATATTTCAAAAATGGCACATGAAAACCATCTTTTTAAATCAAATTTTGATCAGCTGCATAAGATGTAACTTAAGGCAGAGTTTAAATAAATTCTGTTCATGGGGTTCAGAGCCACCTTAAATTTTCAAAAAAATTCAAAAAGGTGTTTGCTTTTGGGAGGTTAAAAATGCAGCTTTTGTATGTGGCTGGGACCATTACCGAGTGGCCGCTTACAAGAAGTGTCTGTTAACGGAGGTTTGACTGTACTATCAAATTAAGGGAAACCTCCAGATAATAGTTTCTAAGATAGGAAAACACTAAAGAAGTAAAAATAAACCAAAAATTGACAAGGATGGCTTTGACTGAGGAAGATTAAGGCCCAGTTTAGATGGTACAACTTTGCTGGATACAACAACCTTGCAGCAAGTGCACAGCAAATTGTTTTGTGTAAATCAAACGTACAATTTTGCATTCAAGTTGTACATGTAGGTTTCTTTTACACAAATCAATTTGTGTTGCTCACTCGTTATGTGCGGCAAATCATAGCATCTAACATGGCCCTAAAACATAATACCACTTAACTTGACACAAATTGGCTGACTCTTTTGCAAGAGGCACTGTCTGTTACCTAGCTTCTGCCCTCTGCAGCCAGAGCTAAAGGTGTCAACTTGAAACAGTGCTTCATAAAGAGAAAACAATTATATTATTTAAAGTAAGTACATGTCAGTTACTGTCAAACTTACAGTAGAAAGATTCCAGACATATTTTAGGTGTCCACTTAGCACCCTCTCCCCCATCAAAAGTCATTGAAAACAAATAGGTCCCTCAATCTATTAGAGATGATTAGAATGTTAGATGGTTAATGATAAATACACTTCTGGAAATCTCTACTGCATTCACCAAAGCTTAATCTTAACAATCTAGGGATGAGGATGCAAGTTCTTACCACAGTTTATCATAATTTTATATTTTGTGTAAGTTTTCTCTGGAAGAATGTGGTAAACATTTTTAAAAAGATGATCAAGGTTCTCATTCACATAACGGTTTTGACCTCTTGTTACATTTGGGATGGGATTAAAGGGCATATTTTTTTTTACAGATTAGTCCTGTTTTAGAAGTACATTCTTATTTGAAGGTCAAAATGGCCAGCAAGTTATCTGAAGTTTATTTATCACAAAAATGGAAGTAAAATGAAAGATAAAATTAAAGTGTTGAATTTATCATAAATTAGCATTATTTAGTTATTTACACTGTAGCATTCCTTCTGTAAAAAAACCTTGGTTCACAATTTTTGTACACTTTTTTTTTAACAATAAGTGGGAAAGAAATTTTAAAAAAATTTTAGCATTCTCACATTCTTTCACACGTATTCTATTTAATATATGCCATTCGCTTGCTATATTCAAAAAAAATTTTTAGGTCTATTTTATTATTTTCTTTTTGTCCATCAAAGACAGCAGACTGGCTGTTGAAAGCTCACAACTTCAAACAATTTTACCAGAGAACGTTTTTTACTTCTTTTACAATTTCCGACATATTTTGTTTGTTGTGACCAATACAAATTGAAGAAGTGTTGGGAGTGCAGTCAACACGGTAACACGTGATCTAATGTGATTGGTTGCAATAAACAAAACCATCAGAATATCAACAGAGTTTTGCAGTAATGAAACGGTGTGGAAAGCAAGTTTAATTTGTTAGAAAGAAGTTGTTTAAAAGTTAATGGTTAAATGGTTCAAAGACAGCACTTCTTGTTTAAAGTTATTGGGAGGACTATGTAGATATGTAACAAGTGATGTCCTTCCCAGATTTTTCAACACTTAAAATCCCTTCATTTCTCCTTGGTTAACATTGGTTTTCAAATTATCATTAGAGACTGACTAAGTTTGACTATAACAGTATTTGTCATATGGCGTTCTTGCATTCACATCTGCAGCTAGATAGGCCTAATGATTAGTGTGTTGGATGGAGTGGTTCAGCTTCAAGCTCTGCCCAGGGTCTTTGTTTTCTTGAGCAGTGCACTTTCTCGCACAATACCTTTCTTTACCTAGGCTTATAAAAAAAGCACTGTTCAAATGCTAGGGGGAACATAGACCCTATTCATAAATGGCTGCCAATTATGAATTCTTTAGTAAGTATTAAAATTAGCCAGACTAACCTCATTTTTGAGTTGATAATTCAAAATAATTTGTACTCTCAAAAGAGTTTACTGAGGCTGATTTAAATGCATACAAAATAATTTTTGATTGGCAGCTATTTATGAGCAGTGTCTATATAATGGACTAGCATCCCTTTAAGAGGTAGTGACAGTACTGAATAGAAAGGCCATCTGATCCTTTGGACTGGAATTGACTACAAAAAGGGCATTTTCACGTTGCCTTTGCCTCCCTGTCAAAACAAGTCATTCTGCAAAACCATTTGCATGAAAAATGTGTTTCATCTGCATGTTCTTTTTGTGCAAACCAAACTCTTATCTATATGAAAAGGTTTTGCACAAGGACTTGTTTGCAAACCGAGGCAAAAGACCATTCTGAAATGGTTCTTTCTTTTTATCTTCCCACATCCACTTTCAGAAATGATGATGTCAAGAGCAGTTAGTATGTAAGGCTGTTATTATCTGATCAGTAATTATATGAATTTAACCAACCTTTAATTTCAATGAGGATCTTTGCTATGGAAAAATTACCATCTATAATGTTATTAGTGTTTCCCTTGAAAATTAGCTAGTTTTTCTTAAAATTTGTAATAGGAAGAAAAAGAGTAAGTTCTGTTACACATACCTCAGATTAGTGACAGAAGTAGGTGAAAAATATGATATTTTGCGCATAATGAAAAAGTACCAGTATTATTTGTCACTATTTTTGCAGGTCTATGTAAAGAAAAACAATTTAAATGAAAATCTGTTAATATTGCAAAAAAGAGTGTAATCCTTATTTTTAAATACTGTACTCATGAAATAAATATTTTCCTTCCTCAGTGGAAAGTTTACAATGAAAGAATACTTAATGATAATCTTACTACAAAAGTAAAAAAATTCAAGATAATTTTTTTAGAGCCTAACAGATGGGGTTTTAACATTGTAGTTTTGAAAATGTGGTCCAAATTTCTCATTTGAACTGCAGTCTTGATGTGATTCCTCTGAGCTCACTCACTTGGACCCTATTAATAATTAATTCCCCACATAAAAAGACAAAATTTTGTCTTTTTATGTGGGGAAGAGTAACCTGTAGTAACTGTTTTATCATTCTTAATTCTGTGATACAATTAAGTCAATAAAAGCGATAATGATGTCAGTTGATTTTACTTGCAGTGTATTATATTTTAGCATACACAGAGCAGTGACTTGACTTTTTATAGACAAAAGAAGAGTTTAAAAGAGTAGAATGTTTTCTGTTGTGTGTGGGTAATGTACTCGTAAATCTGTCCGAGACAGTAGTTTGTTTTCCAACAAAGATTAATCTCAATTTCACATATAAGCAATTGAGTTCATTCAAATTGTTTTCTGTGATTAAAAGTGTGTGACATTCCCACATTCCCTTTGAAACAGATTAACCTGAAAACAGAGAGACTGCAGTATTGTCACTTGGGATGTTTACATTGGGGTCTACATCCTAAATGGTAATAATAACTTGTTTATTGATAGTCATTTAAATGTAAAGCAAAAACTTTTGACAGATAGTTCTGCATTCTATATTTCAAAATTTGACGTGTACGACATGTGGTTTGTGTGCAAAACCGATTATTTGTACATTTTGTACAAAAATAAATGATTCTTCATTTGTAGCCCTTCTATATTTTTAGAAACTATCAACAGGTTCTAAATGTCGTTCCTGAAAGAACTGGTGTCTTTGACGTTCAACAGAATCACTTTTTGGAGCAAAAAATGATGTTATTGAGGCAGTTCCTGGGGGTGGTGAATCTCCATCATCATCATCATCATCATCCCTAAAAATGTGCAAAGAAATTTTCCAAACTTGATGAAAACAAGAGGGATGAAAAGCTAATGTTGCATGGCTGTCCCTTTTGTTACAATTCAAGAGATATTTCATTGCTCTCTGATAACCATGGCAACTGTCTGGGTGGTGACAATGGCACACAATAGTGCCAAATCATAAACGTAAAGAACATTATCTACTCCAAAAGTGAATATTTGCTTTACATATTTACCCACTTGTTTTGTTATTGTTGTTGTTGTTGTTTTTGTTTTGTAAACAGTTAGGAACAAAACCAAGCATTGATATGCTAAGCTGAAGCTGCTGATGTGGTTCATGCATGTGAAGCCAGACTTCTCTATCTGATTTTAATATGACCAATTTGAATAAGACTGAATGGCATACTTTTGCAAAACAACCACTTCTTGATAATTGCAAAACATTTTCTAGAAAATGTTATTTATTGCTCACCAATGCACAGCAACTGCTTTGTTTTCCAAGATATTGCTACAAGTTGACCAGCTAAATCGAACAAGTTGAGGAAAGCCAAAAACCTTGTCTGTTGAATCAGCTAACCACTTTTTAGTAGTGGGATCTATAACAAGGAAGTTAATGGCAATGATATACTAGAGCTGAATGAACTTGATTAATATGTATTTTTTCACTAGTCAAGCTGTTAATGAAGCATTCCAAATATTTATGTGTACATTGTAATGCAAAAGTTTCACTAATTCTAAAATTATTGTTCAGGGCTTGAAAAAAGTGCTGTCAGGTCATCTGGGACAAGTAAATTCTCCTCCAGGGAAAGTAACTTTTCACTCTCACTTGCCGGATGGGCAAGGGATCAGGCAAGTCATCTTCCAACTAAATCATTAAAAGAGCAAACTAGGACTTGCCCTGGACAAGCAAAAGTTAGGGCTACTTGTCCCAAGGGCAAGCTGGAATTCAAGTTTTTTTTTTTAGTCCTGTTGTTGAGATAGCAGGTTGAGCAAAAAATTAAGAAAAGAGGTGAGTGAATAATATTGTCTGAAGCAAAGAGAATCCTTGACTTTTGAAAGAAAAGTGGTGGCTTACAAACTTAAAATTCTTTAAAATGTATTTAAGTTTGTTGTGGAGAATGTATAGTGTTAAAATGGAGGAAATGTTACTTATAAAACAAGCTCTCATTTCCTCTATTTTATTTCTGCATCCCAGATGTTTTGATTCTCAAACTCCAAGGTAGAACACTATTACAGGACAAGGCAAAACTACCCATGGTAAAAGAGTCTGAAAATGTTAAATATAGTACCTGACGGGTAACCAGAGCCATGGTCTTTGCTAAATTCAATGTTTTCAGGAAATCTCCATTCTTTCAACACTCTGTCTCTGGCAACCTGGTAAAGAGAAGACACAAATGCCAATAAGGGTTGTGTGTAAGAAAGCCCAAGATAAGAAACCTGTATTATATACATGTAAAATGTCAGCAATGCCACCAGTTTCTCAGTTACAGTACAAATTGAGCTCTGTAACCATTTTCTGGGAAAACTACCAAATGTATGCTAATACCCAAGTCTGGGGCTCACATATTGAAGAAATCTAAAAGAAGATTAGGGGCTAGCATGTAGTTTAACCGAACATTAATTAGGGCTCTTTTCACATGCCCATATTAGCCTGTGAACAGGCTCCCGGCGAGGATGGAAAAAAATTTTGGCAAGGGCAAAACAGAAGAATTCGGAGAGCAAAACGATCAGGGCGGGGACGTTCAGGCTCGCCAGGAGCCTGTTCACAGGCTAGCTCCATATAATAATATTTATCATTCACTCAAAAAAATTTTACCCTAAAATTATTTTAAAACAATTAGCACTGTGCGATGTGCACATAATGACAACTGTATTAAATGTACAACAAGTATAAAAGAGAACTAAACAACTCACCTTTGCACAGATGCTTGCCGCACTGACTACAGGAAATTTAGCATCAGCCTTGGGCGCCACAGTGATCTTAAGTCCTGGAAATATCTTTTGAAGCTTGTCTTGATATTTCTCTGCAACTCCCACAGTGTCAACATAAACCTAAAATATTCCAGAATTCCAATAGAAGGAGAGTATTATTAATAATACTAAATGTTAATTCGTTGCCACAGTCTGCAGTCTACATTTTACACTGACCAGTTTAATATATAGATTTAGCCAAGCCTAAAAGTAGAGCTCCTGGGCTGGGTTGTTCAAAGCCTGATTAGGATAACCCTAGAATTTTGATTTTAGTTTTGTAACTTTGCAGTGAAGTTTTCTGTACATTGTTTGGCCTTCTGTTTTGAGTTTGAATAATCTCAAAATACACAAAACAAAACATTTGTGTACAATAAATATTTATACTTCTGTTAACTTTGAATCCTGGGTTAGCATTAACCAGCTTCCGAACAACCTGGTCCTGTTTACAACAAGTTAACCTTTCATAAGCCCGTGAGCCAATACAATACCAGCTCTTGGTCAGCAGTCAACTTCAAAACTTGAGCCCACGATATGGTCACATGATACTGGTCAGCAGATACCTTGTTTTGACAGGTGTCAATTGACCATGACAAGAATGTCCAATATCAAAGAAGGAGGCTATAAATCAAGGCTGCATGTCTCTCACACTGTCAACCTTTTAGCGAGAGTATGGCCGCCATCTTGCACGATACCGTCATTGTTGTCGTTCATACACGCCCACGAGCAATACCGCAAGCCATGATAACCATGAGAAAATCAATTCATGGGTTTCCTTTTCTTTCCTATATGGGTATGGGCCTCTGCTATGATATTGTAATATTTTGTTTTAATTGTTATAAAGAATAAATTCTTACTAACCAAGCGAGAGGGCTGCACTGGGGAATATTGGCCTGAGATAGTGGCAGTATGGGCCAATCGTTGCAAGGTCCATAGGACCAATACTCACCACCTTGCCATAAAATAATACAAAATATCTATGGACAGAAACAAGTCTGGTACTAAGTCCTTCCTACTGCCTAACCTATGGTAAACTGCTACTAATACAAATGTATGTAAATTAATATTTTATATTTTTTTATAATTGTGAACATCACCTCATGTACATTGATGCCACTTGAGAGAAGAAGGTTGATCAATCCAATAGCAGTATCATGAGACACTTCATTCAGGCTGTACTTTGTTCTGCCAAGATTAAAACACAACAATTTTCAATTTGCTTGCCACAGAATGTACTTGGGTTCCTTTTAACAAGGGGGGGGGGGGGGGTGCAGGAACAGTAGCCTGAGAATGTGTGGTAAGACTGCTTCTAGGAATAAATCACTCTCAGCTTCAATGAATGTGAAATAGTGTCTGTCATCAGGATATAACTTTCTGCAAAATACTTCACAATTAACTAATTCTCCCTTGGCCAACCCGCAAAAAACACAAACTTAAACTCCTCTCATGTAAGAAATGGGAATTATCTTGCGCATTCTGGATTGACTATAAATATCTACTTCATTGGCTGATATCAGACTTCACCATGGAATATTACACAGCTAGCTTTGTGTGTAGGTAAGATGAACCAAATCATATGCTGTGGTAGGCTGAATGATTACAAAATATTCAATAGTTTGGAAATAGTGGTGCAAGAAATAGACTTACCTTCTTAGCATACTCTTTGAAAGGTAGTTTGGGGACAAAATATTAATTGCCCAACCAATGAACTCTTTGTTTTCGTCAATGATTTGAAAGAGATCCTCACGTTGTTCTTCTGTTAGTGTTTTAGAATCTGACAAAACAAAAACAGCTCATTAAATCTGAAGTACAAAATTTTAAAATAAAAGAAAACTTTTGTGATGAGCCCAGTCTGCCCTAGTTACACAATTATTGTATGCTTCAGTTCACCCAGAGTAGTTCTAAACAAAATGATTGAAACAGTAGGTAGAAAGGTAGGTAGGGGTGCTATATAACATGTAGTCTGTATTTTGGTATTTTTTCCCAGTTATCAAACAAGAAGGTGAAAACTTGAGAGAGAAAACTCAAGACAAAAAACCTCAAAATCTTGATTAACACTTGATTGACATCTCAATCTACACTAAAATGACACTCAATTGACACTTGATTGACAGTCAGTCGATAGTCAGCCGAGTGTCAACCAACTCATTTGCATCTATCAATACTCAATGTTGTCTGCGAAAATTAGTTGACTCTTGACAGACTGTTGACCAAGCGTCAACACCAATTATTTATTCAATTACAAACATGCTTTAAGGTAACATGGAATCACATGACAATAACAACCATGTGTTTGATTGGTTTCATCGCTGGTCCATTTCTGATCTGTCATTGCCTTCTCCAAAACAAAGCTATTTGTATTTAAATTTTGGGTGGCTGCTTAAATATGCATCAGTCAATTTTAGCTGTGCCCATGCCCCCCTCCCGGGTCACCCCTAGGAACTGATATTTGTTAAAAACAAACTGACTAATGTCCCATGCTTGGCTGGAACAAACTAGTTGTTCAAACGCCCTGGGGTAGTGGCTCAAAAAATTTTTTTATTTTCCCTCATTTTCTCTCTTTTACTTTAACTAAGATCTAAGCTAATTCAGACCAAACTAAGTCCTAGCTAAGTCTTATTTCCTGTGATAGTGTAAAAAAGGTCATAATTTCTGCAGGCCTAGCATGTGGGACTAGCATCTCCCGTTAAGACTTACGTCCTATCTAGATGTATGGGAAAACTGCTATATTTAGCGATGATGAATTAAAACTTCGATTCACTAACCTGCTACTCCAAGACTTTTTACTTCTTCCGATTTTGACAGTGGAAAATAGCAAATTCCATAAACCATCGGCCCTACAAATTCGAAATGGTTCCATCATCATCGTGTTCATCGGCAAAGATACTAAAAAAAATGCTTTCTTACCGAGCACAGGCCCTCTTCCTGCTTCATCAATCCCTATACAACATGGTTCCCCCATTGTTATGTCCGGTATCATGGACTTTACCGTCAAATTTCTTGAATTATCTTCTAACGAACTGAGATCCATGTTGGAGAAACAGGCGGCGACCGGCGGCGACTGTATTTCGCGCGCGATTACTGCAAGCTGAAGTCGAGGCTAAAGCGACTTTTGAACGAGACATTACGAAAATCTACGAGTAACTTACGAAGAATACCGAAGGCTGATTGACTTGGCAGGCCGGAAATTCACAAAGCGCGCGGAATTTGATCAACAAGCGAATTTAGCAAAGGAAAGCGGGAGATAAAAGAAGATCCTGATCAAAATGTCGCCTAAAAAACCTTGATGACGATCTTACTTGAGGAATGAAAATTAAAGGACTCAAAGTGAACTATGAGCAACGTTTCGTCTTGTGAAGAAGAGGTTTTACTCTTGTGCGGGAAATATGACGTATCGAAACCAAGCGTTCACGAAGTCATGAAAGATGCCGAAAATCTCAACAAGATCTTCTCATCCCAAGATATTCCTTTAACCCTCGAGTCCAGATTGGTCACAGCAGTTGCAAATCACCCTTGCTTCCTTCCTGAGAACCCCTTGAATGCTGAGGTACAAGTGAATTCTCTGCTACCCTATCTTTCGTCTCCCTGCCGTTGGATTCGATCCAAGGCCTGCAGTCTGTTGAGAGTTTTCGCGTCGGGATTAGATCCCAAAGGACAGCACATAAAGACCCAAGGTAAGTAAAATAAAACAGAGCACTAACTTTTCATTTTCTAAACTACAGCAGCTATAGTGCTGTTGGTGCTGAAATGAGGGCTTTTTGGCATCATCACTGCATTTGAGACTACATGTCATACCCAAAACGCCCTCCCACCTAGGTACCCCTCGAAAGCTCCACTCCGCCATAATGGAGAAAATATTCTGTCACTATGGTCAGGTGGCGGAGTTGCCAACCTGAAAAAAAAATTGAAAATTAACAACAGTTTTAAATACATTTGACACTCAAATATATGATTTTTTTAAATTTTTATTTATTTATTTTTTTTA